TCAATTCTTTGTTTTAGGTTCATTAGGTGAATATTTAAGAAAAGAAAAAGAAGATTATGTGAAATTACCTTATCGTTTAAAAATTAGAATGTTATTTGACACTGCCAGAGGAATGCAATTTTTACATGAAAATAGAATTATGCATTTAGACCTTAAACCAGATAATCTTTTAGTTAATTCTTTATATACTGATTCTGCTTGTTGCGTAAAAATTACTGATTTTGGTACTTCAAGAATGGTAAAAAAAACTAATAAAAATGAAGATAAAGGACTTGGTACTCCAATTTATGCTGCCCCAGAAACATATCATGATGAATATTCATATGCAGGAGATGTATATTCATTTGCTATAACAGCATGGGAAATTTTCTATCAAGATGAACCATATAAAGAATTTAAATCATTATTTGATATTAAACAATATGTCACTGATGGAAAAAGACTTGGAATAGATGAAACAATGCCACCTGGATTAAAAGAACTTATTCAAAAATGTTGGAAACAACATCCTATTGAAAGATATAGTTTTGATCAAATTACAAGAGAACTTGTTAAAGTAGATGAAGATGCACCAAATCATATAGAATTAGATAACTATGTTTCAGATCAAAGAATAGAAGAATTAATAAATAAAAGAACTGAAAGAATTCAAGAACAATTAAAAGAAATAAATCAAGATTAATAACACAAAATTCAAATTTAATTAAAAATAAACAAATAATTTTTTAAAACCCAAACAATTTAATTTTATTGATGATCTCTAATATCAAAGTCTTTAAATGTACTTACTGTAAAATGTGGAAGTTCAGGAGATTCTTCTTGATCAAACCATAAATCAGCATAAGCACCAACATTATCTAATCCTTCATATTTTGGTGCAGAAAATAAAGAAAGTAATTTACCAGTAACGTCCCATTCAAAACCATATTTTTTAACTTCATGACTTCTTACAATAAATTTTAAATTATTTTCATATAAAAATCTTAATAAAATATCAGGTCCAAATGTTCTTCCAATTAGTCTTGGTGATTTTGATGATCCATTTTTAATTTGAGGATCTGCCCATAAAAATGCATTTTCAATATCAAACTCTTCATATTTTTCTTTTTTTGTTATTGGAGCTCTTTTAATATTAACTGGTTCTATTGGAATTCCTCCATGAACAACAAATACAGAATCTCTAATTACATGACCTAAAGGAATAGAAATATATAATTCTGTTATTTCTTTATAAATATCTAATCCAACTTTATTTATTGCTTCTGCATAAAATCCAAATGTAGTATTTAATTCTTTATCTTCATGATTTCCTCTATTTAGATATACAAGAGTAGGATATTCTATAATTAATGTTAAAATTCCAATAATACATTCTAATCCCCGTGATCCTCTATCTACTAAGTCTCCATTAAATAAAACACATTGTTGATTTTCTTCTATTTCTTCTGCTATTCTTGAAACAACAGAAAATTGTCCATGAATATCACCAATTATTCGAATATTAGAACAATTAATATAATTAATAGCATTTCTTTCATTTAAAATCTTTTTTGATTTCTTAATTATTGAACGTATTAATGTCTTTGGATATTTCCCTTCTTCAATAAATTCTTTTAATATTCTAAATGTTATTTCTCCTTTATACTCTTGTTCTTCATTCTTTATATTACTTTCTGGAATTACTACATTTCCACAACATCTTCCTGGATATTCTTCTTTCTTTAATTGATTATATAATGATGTAATACTTCCATCTGATGATAATGTCATTGCCCTTCTTAAATCAAGTAACGCTGTTTTGTTATCTTTTAAATTAGCTGATGCTACTGCATGACGAAACCATGCTTTTGGATTTGAAGGATCAATTTGTAATGCATTGAAACTATCTGCTAATGCAAGTTCATTTTCATTTGTTCTTAAATAACATAATGCTCTATTTGTATAATTAACACAATTTAATGGATCTTCTTGAATAGCTTTACTATATTGTTCAATGGCTTCTTTATAATTTTGTTTAGAAAATGCAATATTTCCTAATTCACGATATTCCATTTGAATTGAATTATAAATTTCTTTCAAATTTTATAAAAAAGGGTTTTATTTTTATTTCTAAAGTTCGGTTTAATCTAATAAAAAAAATTTATTACTTTTTCTATTGTTATGACTGGTATTTATCAATTTGGTGGTAGTGTAATTACTCCAACATTACTTGAAAATAATTATGAAGATGACACACCTTTATTAAATGGAAATAAAACAGAATTTACTAATGAACAAAAGAAAGTAATGAGATTATTTATAATAGGTTTGTTTATTAATGCTCTTTGGTTATATATTATTTTAAAATACAAACATTCAACTGATGAAATTATTAAAAAATGGGTAATGATTTCAGAGTTCTTTTTAGTACTCTCAATTATTTTCTTGATTATAGTGATTATTGTTATTATTGTGGTTATTTTGGTAGTAATTTAATTCATATTTCTATATATTCTATTTTTTATTTGCATTGTTTTTTTTATTTTGTTATTTCTTTGATGATAAACTTATAGGAAACTATAGTAATTCATTAGAAGAAGGAAGAGCTTTCTAATGCTCATTTATTGGAAAAGAATGTTGTGATAGAAGTATGACATATTGAAATACCAGAACCATTTCTCAATACAAAGAACATAAAATTGTGGATATATCAATTGATTTTCTTTTTTTTTTTAAAACATTAATGAAAAAATCAATAAAATTTGAAATAAAACATCAAAATATAAATTAAATCAAAACAAAAAAGAAGGAAAGATTAAAGTAAATAATAATAGTAAATTGTATAATAAAATATAATAAAATATAAAAACAACAAAAAAAGTATTTTTAAAAATATTCATAATTTGAACGTTAATATGATAATGTACAAAATAACATAATATTGAATTTAATTTTGAAAAAGAAAAGTAGTTTTGATGGAATTTATATTATTTATTGAGTTAGGGTCGATGTTGCTTATTTAAACTTAAAAACATCAAATCATAAGTAATTATTTCATGTCTCTTCCAAATATTTATCCAGAACATTATACAATTAATACAAATTCTCCTTATTATAGAGAATTAATTCCTAAACCAATGTTTGATGCTTTATTTGAAAAAGCTAAAGTAATGGCAATTGGATTTTTATGTCAAATGGATCCTTCACATGCAGATTTATATAAAACACAATTTCCATTAATATATCCAGAACTTGAAGCACCATTTTTCAAACAAGGACTCTATGAAATGTTTGCAGGATGTTTAGATCCTGAGTCTACTAATTTTAAATTTGTAATGAAAAGTGTTGTAGCTAAAATAGTTTGTTATGGACGTTATTGTATAGAAAGAAATCTTTATCAAGAAGAATTAAATAAAGTTCAAATTAAAAAACCTATTTATATTGTTGCACTTCCAAGAAGTGGATCAACATTTACACATACTGTTCTTGGATGTGATCCTAAATCAAAGAAAGTATTATTTTATGAACATCTTGCACCAGGAAGTCATACAATGACTAAAGAAGCTCGTTTAAAGATTTCAGAAATGATTATTGGACAAGTTACAAGTGAAGGAAAAGATTTAAATAAGTGTCATAATATGGATAATATGATGGTTCCAGAAGAAGAATTATTCTTTATGGAAGGATTAGCTCATTCATATATTTTTAGTACTTCGCTTCCAAGATGGGAACAATTTAGACAATCTGCTTTTGAAAAAGATTATTCTAAAGTTTATGAAGCTGTTCTTGGAGAAATGAAAATGTCTGCTATTGAATATCCTATTCCTGAACATGGTTATTATTTAATGAAATGTGTTTCTCATTTTATGACTATGGTACCATTTTTTAATATTATGTGTGCTGATGATATTGAACCAAGAATTGTTTGGATTCATAGAGAACCTGTTGATGAATATAAATCTGCTTTTTATTTAATGTTGAATGGAAGAAAAAAATATCTTGGAGATCTTGGATTAGATGACTATAAATGGTTACAAGAAAGTATTTTAAAGATGAATGAAATTGTTTTGAAAAATGCTATTGCTACTAGAGAAAAATGGATTGCTGAAAAACCTGAAAGAGCAAAACAAATTTGTGATATTGGATTTAGAGAAATGATTACTGATCCTATTAAAGTCACTCAAAGAATTTATGACCAATTTGGATTAGAATTAACTCAAGAAATGAAAGACTCTATGTTGAGTATTAAAAAAGAAGGTGATCCTCAAAAAGAATATGGTAGAAAGGAAAAAAGAAATGAAGATTTCTTTATTCCTGATAATGAGGTTAGAGAACGATTTAAATGGTATTATGAAAAATTTGGACAATTTATGCCAAATTATTGGGGAGATAATTAATTTCTTTTTTTTTTAAATTTGATTTGAATATTTTAAAATAGTTTTTGAGTTGCATATCATTATTTGTTTCTCATTTTAAATTATTATTCTCTTTGATATGTTATCTTTTTTTATTATTATATGACTAAAGGTTGAAACAATATACCTACTATTATTATCTTACTTGAAAGAATTAATTTCTTAACATGCACCATAATATGAAATAGAATAATAAATATAATCTACAGTAAAAATATAAAACAATAAATTATTACTAAATTTTAAACGTTCAATGAAATAAAATTTAAAACGTTATTTATAAATTATAAAAATAAATGACAAAAATAATTTATATGAATTAGTATTTATAATACTTCAAATTGATAATAAAATAGAAAGAAATTATTTAAAGAAAATAAAACAATGATTCAAGTACAATTATTGAGTCTAACTTTTTTTAGGTTCTTAATATTTTTAATTTTAATATAATTTAACAATCTAAATAAAAACTATAAAATAATTTCTTTTTAAAAATATACTACTATTCAATTGTATTTAAACTCTGTTTAAAAAGATATATTAAAATACACAAGACTTTAGTATTATTTATATTCATAAAAAAAATAGTTTTTAAAAAGAATATATTAAATATCAAAAGTAGAATAAAAATAAGTGACATTCTAATAAGTTAAAGAGGAGTTAGACACAAAAGAATAATTAAGAATAAATAAAACAAAAATAAAAGAATGGATCGAAAAAAAAAAAGAAAATAAAAAAAAAGAAGAAAAAAAAAACAAAACCCTGAAAATAAGAAAAAAACTCACTAAAAAAGAGAAGAAGAGTTATAAAGTTTGTTTGATAATATAAATTGATAAAAAAGAAAAGAGGGTGAGGAAATTATTAATAGATGAATTACTGGTCAGGAATGTTTAATTTTTTATCATTAGAATCACCTATCGATACAATATTAAAAGAAGAAGGGTGTACATTAGAAAAGTTACTTGACATTGAAGATTTTATTCAAGAAATACGTACAAATGAAGAATTAATTAATTTTTGTTGTAAAAAGAATAATTTAAAAAAAATTGTTCAATATGCATTAGGAGATATACCAAAAGGATCTACATTTGAAAATACACAAAAATATGGAAGTGTTTGTGCATCATTATTTGGAGATGAACCAACACGATTAGTTGAATCAATAGGAAAATCAGAAAAATTGATAAATTATTTATTTAATACAATAATGAAAGAAGAAATAACAAAAATAAGAGCTGCATCACAAATATTATTATCAATATATAAAGATACTACTTCAATAATGTTTGATATGTTAATTAATAATGAAGAAGTATTAGAAAAAATGATCAATCATCCAGAGATAGATGGATTAATTGATAATATATTAGAATTAATGAAATTAGAAGACTCAGGAAAAACAGGATATATTGAAAAGATATGTAACCATCAATTTATTAATAAAATTATGACAATATTTATGACTACACAATCAATTAGTGCTATTGAAAATATATCAATGTTTATTCATTCTATTGTATTATGGAAAGTTTCTAATACTGATTCTGATACTATTGAATTTATTAATAGGTTCAATAATGAAGTTCTTCTTCAACAATTTATTGATTTTATATTTAATTCTCAAGATGATTTCATTGTTTCTCAAGCATTTCATATTGTAAGTAATATTCTCGCTTGTTCTACTATTTTAACTTATAATGATGAAACTCATTTACCTGGTATTTTTAATGCATTACTTCCTCATGTTAAAGACTTTGAAAATATTATGAAATCAAGAAGAGTTGGAGGTGTTACTAACAATTTAATTTATATTATTTTATCATTGGTATTAAGTGGATTTCAACATGTTTATGATGTCATTGCTAATGAAAATGTATTAGGAGCAATGATGGATGTATTTTATGGTGATCATTTATGTACTGTAGTAAGACAAACTATTCAAATGACTGTATTGTCTATATTGAATAGTAGTGTTGAGAAATTAAAATTAAAATTAATTGATGATGGTAAATTACTTGATGTAATGAAACAGAAAGACATAGATGCAATTGAAATGAAAAAGAATAAAAATATTGCACCAGACTATTGGTTAATTGGTTCTCTTTTAATGGTTGCACTTGTTAATAGTGTAGAAGGTAGAGATGATGAAAATACTGTGAAACAAATAGTTATGGGAAATAAAGATTTTATTGATTATGTTCATTCCATTGTTATGGAAAGAGAAACAGAAAAATCTGAATACTTCAGTAAACCAACAAACGATGATTTTTCTGATGAGTTTGAAGATGATGATGACGACGACTATTTTGATGATTCAAATGAAGAAGATGAAGAAGACCCTGAAAATGAAGATGATTTTGATGATCAAGAAGATGATTTTAAATTAAGTTCATCATCAGAAGATGATGGCGAAGAAGAAGATGAAGATCCTGAAGATGAAGAAAAGTAAATAATTCGATATAATAGAACTTTAAAAATTAAAGATTTTTTTTTAAAGAGTCAAAATAAAACAAGAAATAAACAAAACTAATTTTTGATTAAAATGATTAGAAAAGGTAACATTTAGATTTTTTTTGTTGTTTTTTATTTTCAACTGGGACAGTATCAGTATCATCTACTACACACATTTCAGCCACTTCAAGTGCCATACATTTTAATGCCTCTTTACATCCATCACCAGTTTTTGCTGAACAAATAAAGTAATTTTTATACGATTTATCATTAACAAATTCATCTGCATCTTCTTTTGATGTTTTAATATCATTTAGATCACTTTTATTTCCAATAAGAACAACAACACATTTTGGAGAAGCATAATAAGTGATGTCCCTTGCCCAATTTGTAAGATTTTTAAATGACTCTTCATCACTAAGATCGAATACTAAAAAGATACCACATGACTTTCTATAAAATGAAGATGTTAAAATCCTAAACCTTTCTTGACCTGCTGTGTCATTAATTTCTAATTTAATAGTTTTCATTTTACTACATTCAGGAATATCAACATCAATTGTTTTAAATGTTGTAGATGTAGAAGGCTCTTGCTCATCAAATTTATCTTCAGTAAAACGAGTTAATAAACAAGTTTTACCTACACCAGCTTCACCAATGACTAATATTTTATAATTAGTTGTTGTAGAGTTTTTACTAATAATCATGAGTCATTTTCTTTTCATTAAAAAAAGTAGAAAATAAACAAATAAAACATACTCGTATTCCATAAATTCTCTTTATTATTTGAGAATTTAGATGAGGGGTTTTTTCTTTTTTTCTATGTTTAAATTATTTATTATTTTTATTTGTTTTATTTAATGTCTTTAATACAGACTCGAAGGTGGAACATCACAGACACCACATAGAACCCTAAAATGAACCAATACATTCAATATTCTAGTTACTATCTGGTTATGGTCTTAGATTTAGATAGAAACTATCTTACTCAATCTTACAAGAATAATAATGTTTAATATTTATGACAATGATGGAATATAATTTATTATTATAGAACAGTGAATATTTATAAAGATGATGGTATTATTTATTAATCAACTTACAAGTAAATTGATACTCAATGAATTACAATGAAGGTATTGTTATGTATTATCAAAGAAAAAAAAGTGGTAATAATGTTGTTGATGATACTAAATGAACTTATGAAATAATAATGTAGTCATTTGTTCATTCAACATAAAATAATGAAAAAAAAAAGAGTTTTAATACGTAGTAAAAATCCAAATAAAGAAGAGATAATCACTTAAATAAAGATTATTTAAATTAATGAAGTTTGCAAAAATTAGTAGAAAGTAAAAAAAAAGAATAATGGATGAACAAATACTCATAAAGTTTCATTATGGTCAAAGAAGAATCGAAAACAAAAATTATAACACTTAATTAATTACTTCCTATTTGTTATTGAATAGCAATGTTTTTTTTTTGCTTTATGTTAATGAAATAGATGTCGTTTCTTTTTATTGATAAAGATAGAATCATATCAACTTTTTTTTCGAGTGGAATGTCTCATTTAAAAAATTGTTTATTGAAAAAAAAATAAAAGGTTATTGAGAGTATTTTAACAAACGAAAAAACAATATCAAATTATATCTTATTTTATTTGTTTTTTCTCTTAACAAAAATTTCGTAAAACATAAAAATATTCTAAAAATAAAAAAGAAAAAAACGAAATTTAAAAATAAAAGACAAAAAATAAATAATAAAAAAAATGAAAAGAAAGACGATGACGTGGACACTTAAAAAATAAAAAATGCGAAAGGAAGAGGAAGGGGGAAAAAATAAAAATAGAAAAGAAAAGCAAAAAGAAAATAAATTAACTGAGAAGTTCATTTCAATGAAGAACAAAGAACAAGTCGTCATTGATGATATTTTTGAAAAGAACGATTTTGTTAAGTCATTGAAGTTAGTAAGTAGTCCAAGGTTAGTAACTCCACGAATTAAAACATCTAAACAAATAAAAGACCAAGAACAACAACGAGTATTAAATATTCAATTTGATGTTTGTTAAAGTTGAGGTTTAAAGAAAAAGAAATGAGAGAGATTGATTGAATAATATAGGAATTTGATTCAGAAGAAACGGAGCAATTAGATATTTTTCAGTTAAGAATATTTTTAGAATCAGGTCAATTTCCCATTTCATCTAACCAACATTTATTCGTCAAAGAACAAAATTTAAGAGAAGTTTTGGGAAGTATGTTTCTTGATAAATCAAGTAGAATTTGTAGAAAAGAATTTGCAAAATTTTGTAATTATTTTGAACAAAAAAGAGATGAAATAGAAGTTTGTTTTTGTTGTAAGAATTATTTTTATTTTATTCATTGTTAATAATATAGTGGAATTCTGTTTCATTAATTAGTTTATTTTCACAAGCTGATAATTCTAATGTAGCAAATAAATTTAAAACATATCCAACAAATCATATTACCCGTTTTGATTTAATTCATAAACAAAGACTAAATAAAGAAAATATTGTTTTGGGGGGTTCAGTTATGGATGATTATCACACACTTATAATGAATCAATTTTATCAACAAACTACAACAATTCAATTCGATGATACTATCGAATATATTACAAAAGAAGAAAAAATAAGAAAGAATTCATTAGTACTTGAACCAGGAAAATACAATAGAAGAGAAGAAATGCCTTGTCTTTTCGGTACATTATTTCGTGATTTAAATCCATCAGATTTAATTAAAAATGAAATTAATGATGATGTTATAAAAAACAAAAATATAATTTATGTGATTGATTTAAATAATGTAGTATGGGCAGTTGGTTCAATTGATAACTTAATTCTTAATTTTGCTATTTATGATCAAAGTAAAAAGGAAAAAGTATCAAGTAATTTTATTATCTCACCTAAACAAGCAGATGTTAATTTATTAATGAATAATAATGTTGGTGAGACATGTGCAATATCATTAAATGAAAGTCAAATTAAAAATGGGAAGTTATGGGCTGTATTAACGATTTATAAATTATTTGATGGAGAAAGTATGGAAGAAATATTTGTAGCAGAAAAAGAATCACGAAACACCTTAAAAATTATTGAAAAAATGAGACAAGTAAATGTTACTCAAAAAGCAAAAGGTGTTCAATTTCTTCAATATATTGCAACAGGAGCGATGGCATTAAATAGTGATTTACTTGAAGATAGAAAGTCATATTATAATTTAAAATTATATTATGATGATAGTATTATTGATTTATGGCAATTTCTTGGAAATGTAGAAAGTGGAAAGATTAAACCAATTAATGGTTCATGGGGGTTTAAATTCGAACAGTTAAACCATTATACAAAAGCAAATTTAATTATTACTCAAGATGGAGTTGTTCAAAATGTTGATTCACAACCACCAGAAGCTAGTGAAAAAGAAAATGAAGAAGTTCCTTTATTACATGATCTTGTTGTACTAAAAAGTATTAATGAAATTTATCATGATTTTTATAATACTTTATTTATATCTCCTATTGAAGTTAGTATTCCTAAAGATAAACGACCAAAGAATGGTGGAATTTGTTTAATGTTTCAATTAAAAAGTAATGATGATTTAAATGCAAATAGTATTATTAAATCATTTTTTCCAATGAATTCTATGTCAGCGAATTTATTAGATAAAGTATATTCATCTGTTAATTATAATAAACAAACATTCTTTACTGATGAAATTCGAGTTCAATTACCATTTCCATTAAGAGAAAAATATCATCTTTTAATCACTGTTCTTTTCATTTCATATGATGACTTTTCACAAAAACCAATGTATTATTCTGTTCTTCCTTTATTTGCAAATGGAAATGTTGTTTCAAGTATGGTTTATTCTTTACCATTATTAAAAGGAAATCTTACTGAAGGATATTTAAATCAATTACATCATGATGTAACAAAAATGAGTATTAATGTTAAGATAGATGTTCAATCTACTATTTATCCTAAAGAAAAAAATATTTATAGGTTTTTAAATGGAAAGATGGTTGGAGTAGAAAGAGCTCTTGAGTCTATTCCAGTTCAAGAAGCTATTCATTTCTTACCTTCAATTGTTAATTATTTCATTTTTCATACTAAAGAAAATTCATTAGGATTTTTTGCTTTATTTGATATCTTTGCAAAAATTGATGGTATTGGTAAATCAGATTCTTCTAGGTCAAAGTTATTATATGACTTTACTATTAATTTTACAATTGAAAATCAAGAAGAAAGTCTTGTTTCAAGACTTTTATGGCAATTTTTAATGAAAATTAAAGATGATATGGAAAAAGTAGAGAATGTAATGAAATATTCTTGGATTTTATTTACTATTTTATTTAAAGGAATAGTGATGATGACTAATTCAGGTAAAAAGTTAGATTCAAAGAATTTATCCTATCTTTCTATTGGATGTCAAAAATTTTCAAGTTTAATAAGAAAAAAGATTGTATCTAATAGTTACAAAGGGGTTTTTGAAGGAAATATTAATTTAGCTGAATTTATTTCAAGATTAATGGGTATTATTGATAATGAACCAATTACTTCTATTATTATTAAACATCTTATTACATTAGGATCTTGTCTTGGGAATGATGGGTTTACAAGATTAGATCGTACAAGTCCAGCATTTGTTACTTTAGGAATATGTAGAACACAATTTATTGCAACAATTGGAATTTCAAAGAATTTTATTTTATTTAATAAACCACAAGTATTAGAAGTTACAACAATTGAACATTTAAGTGATGAAATAACTCAAAAACATCTTGTCATTACATATTTTATTCGAGAGCTTTTAAATATTTATACTAGAGAAGGACCTGTTGGGAAAATTGCTATTGACACATTACTGATAATTTTACTTCGATTAGACTTTGATGTAAAGTATCAGTCAAAAGAAGATAGGTGTTATATTGGAAATATCCTTTTTGGAATATTAATTTATTTATTGGATGAATTTGATAAAA